CCTGCTGACACCTATACTAGTCACGGATTCCCAACCACATGCTGGTGTGTTGCAGCAGTTTTGCTAAGGGGCATTTTTCTGGCTCTGAGCACAGGGAGTCACAGTTACAAAACTTGGATTCTGCTCTTGCTTCACTTTCTGATTCTGACTGTAGACAAATCTTAACCTTTGTCCTAATTTCCCTAAAATATCAATAATAAATCTACTTTGTCCCTGTCCAGTATATTAAAATGGAAGGTACAGCTAAACTGAGTTCTTGAAGGCCCAGGTGCCTCAGTCTTCTCTCACTGTTCATTGTAGATGTGAGCCATCTTGCCGGACCTTTTAAAAGCTTTGGGGTGTGGGGTTTTTTTTGTTTATTTAGTGGTTTTTTTCTTGTTGGAGAGGGTGGGATTTGTAGCTTTCAGCTCCCATATGAGCCATGTAGCACTTCAGTGTCAGTAATTAATCTAATATGTTGTGTTTGTGCCTACAAGAGCTGTTGTAACTGCAACCAAATTGTCGATAGGTAATACATGAAATAAGCATGGCAACAGAAATGAACGTAATGTTTTAGGCAGGGCAGTTAGCGTGAGGTGGCTCATAAAGAATGTGGTAGCAGCTGGGTGCAGGCCAAGAGCTGGGGACTTGAGGGTGTGTGTGGAGTGTTCTGCATCCCCCAGCAAGGAGGGGGCTTGGCTAGCTACGTGGGGCAGGGAGGGGTGGTGTTGGGGTGGTGTCAGTGGGTGTCTCTTGCCTCCTGTGATTTGTGTTGCCCAGATCTTTCTTCTCATTCCAGCACAGACCAGGTGAAAGGTGTGTTGACTCTGCAGGGAGACGCTCTGTGCCAAGCTGTGAGTACTTGCTGTGCTTCCTGCTTTGTACCACCATCAAGGGGTGGGAGTCATCCTTGTTACACTTTGATGACCTTTGAGGGAGAGGTCATCCTTACTGTGCTTTACCAGTGATGAGCAAGTATTCTTTTTCAGTCTTCCCTAATTGGCCTTAAATCCTCAGTGTTTCAGCAGCTGTTGAAATTTGTCAAGGTCCAGCATTTAACCCCTTCCCGCACACTCTGTGGTGAGTGGTGGAGTCGACTTTCCTGGGGATTCCTTGCCTTTACCGCCTTTGCTGTGTAATATCAAATGTCCTTGGGGTCTTCTGAGATGAGGTTGTGTCCTGCCTGGAGCCTGATTCACTAAATGCCTTTCAACTTATCCTTTGTATTAACATCTTCCTGTCGGAGGACTGCTGAAAGCGGCTTCCCAAGATGCTCTGGGAGACAGAATGGAGTGGGACTGGCAGTCTCCATGTTCTGCACATGGCAATTGTTTGCTCTCACGTGTTTGTTCCTTTCTTCAAGGACGTTAATCTGAAAATGCCCAGAAGTAATCAGCTCCTGCACTTTGCATTTCGGGAAGACAAGCAGTGGAAATTGCAGCAGGTACTGTTAACTTTAGATACCTACACCTCTGTAGAGTCTGTACCCCTCCAAGCAGTAGCTGTACCCCCTGACTTTCTGAGAGAGAAGGTTATGTCCATCACACATTAGCTCCAGTGGTAAAAGTGAAGGGAGGAAACACACAATTAGATTCAGTTACGGTGCTAGGAGAGAGAGATGGGTTCTGCTTGTTCCTGAAACATCAACAAGTTGAAGGCTGTCTGCAGAGCAGTTATAATCCTTTCAAAGGAGTGCCTAGGGTGCCCGTGCAGTACTGGCCTTGTGCTGGCTTGTAAAACCCAGGCTAGTAGGGCAAAGACCAACTTCAGAGGCTTTGAGCAGCTTGCTCTTATGGAAGCATTTCTTTATGCTGGAAACAAATCTCATAGCATTGTGCTCTTGTAGCACGGCTGAATTCCCTCAGTTAAGGAGTTAAAGAATGTGGCTGTCCAGAACATTGAATCTCTTTCCCACTGTTTTGCTGGGAGATATCAAATTTCAGGACCTGATCTAGTGCCTCATCTTGAAGACATAATTTCCCACAGTTACGGTGTCATAGCTGAGTAGGCTAGAGGAAGATGTATTCCATGTGCTCATATTTTTATAGGCAGTCAGTGAATTTCATCTTGAGTGCAGCTTCCCACAGCTGCTTTGGCAGCAGAGTGAAAGCTCTACCTGGTAACCTTGTAGACATCTAGAAAAATGTGTACTTGAGATGTTAATGCCAAACTTGGCGGAGTTTATTTATGCCTTGCAACAAGCCAAGGATGTTTTTGTGGTAACACTCAGCAGCGCGTCCTATTTGTGGGTGTTTTGTACTGCTGCTTGGCTGATAGACTTCTACCAGCTTTTATGGAAAACCTTCCTTTATTTACTTGGAAGAGTTTAGTCTTCTGATAATGAGATAATTGGGGAAACCTCAGTTTTCTAGTGTGTATTACAGGGAGTGTTTCTTTAATAGGGCTGCATTTCTACCTTTGCAGATCCAGGATGCTAGAAACCATGTTAACCAAGCCATTTACCTGCTTATGAACAGAGATGTAAACTACCAGTTCAAAACAGGCTCGGAGGTTCTAAAGGTGAGGAGAAAGCCCTATTTGGGTAGGAACATACATTTTTCTTCCCTCCATTTGTTGTTTTAAACACAGTTAATGCGCATTACTGTCTTGAGTCTTTTACTGGATATGGATTCCCCAGTTGTACCCATATGTACCTGCATGAAGGAGTGTCCATGTGACCTCATATCTGATAGGAACCTATACCAGTTTAGCATCAGTAACAGGGTTGTACATCATGGTGAATGGTGATCTGAGCAGTTGCTGCCCTGCTGCACAGCAGTGACATTCTGGAAGCATCTCCCTTGATCTTTTTTGTGTTATGTGGTTACACAGCTCAGGCTTTTTCCTGTCAGTCAGTGCTTTTGGTGAGAGAAGAAATGAGGCAGTCATCAGCAAACAAAATGTTACAGTTAGTACTCAGAATTTACTGACGAATTGAAAGTGACTTCTCACTTGCTAGTAGTAGTTGATACAGACCAGCTGCTGTGTCGCAATAAAGCCCAGCCCTCTGCTTGGAAATGCTCTCTGAAGTTAACAGAACTTTTAACTCGCTCATTAGAATCCATCACAATATCAAAAGTGAGAAAGCTAAACCTTTTTAGTCTCCACATGGGCAAGGGCTGCTAATAGGAAGAAGCTAGGTAATAAAACTATTTCCTTTTTACTTCTGGGTGGAAGCAGGGGTCAGAAATCAGTCACAATATAAAACACCTTCATCTTAACAGTCGTGAGCTCTATAACAGACGTGTGCTTCCTACTTTTTTTGTCTGGAAAAGGAAGTCTGCCCGAATAGAACCTTTGAACTGTGGTTTCTGGCAGGACTGGACTGACAATGAGCTGGCTCTTTTCTCTAGAGCCCTGGCTCATAAATGGTTATGAACATGGGGGCCCATTCAGTACCCGTGATGTGGGAATGAGGAAAACTAGAACACAGCATGTTTTTTTTCCTTAATGCCTGCTCTTCAGAAGAGCTGATGATCGGTTTGTCAATGCTGCTGTGGCATCAGTAATTGATCTCATGTTCTCTTCTTACTTATCTAGTGAATAGCTGTTCTCTCTTCAGTCCCTGGTATTAAACACTCCTGGCTTGTCTCACAAATATCTGTGATGGTGGTAACAGTTAAACTGCATTTATGTGGGTGCCAGCCCTTCACAATAAGTCCCGGAATTCCTGGAAGGGCAGGGGGTGGTGGTGGTGGTTGTGAAACTTGCAAAAGCCTGTACGATTCTGCAGCACTCCATCCAAAGCTGTCCAGGGATTGTCACTCAGCGGTGTCCTGTATGTTATCTTGTAGCTTATGGATGCTGTGATGTTACAGCTCTCAAGAGCCCGAAATCGACTTACCACTCCGGCCACTCTAACTCTACCAGAGATTGCCTCCAGTGGTCTCACAGTAAGTATGTGGTTGTCTAGATCTCCATGCAGTCTGGCAGCATGCAACAGTTAGGATACTGTGCTGCATCCTGGTGGAAGCGGATTTCTGAAGTGTCTCCTGAGTGAAAATGAGAGCTGAAGTAGATGTAAACCCCAAGCATTTTTGGCTGCTCTGTATCTTCCTGTGGGAAAGCAGATGACTTGGGCATGAGGAGTCTGGTTTTCAGAGAGTAAGTTCTGCTCTTTGCTCAGGAAGCTTGTCCAGGGTTGGTTTGTGAGCACTGCTCCATCCTCCATTGCCTGCAAGCTGTTTGATCTTTGTTTCTTTCCTAATGTCCCTCTCACTGTGAGGTAACAAGTGTGGCTTAAAAAAAGCTAGTGATTCCCCAGCATTAGAAATAACAGTCCTTTTACTGACAAAGAAACTACTTATTTTCTCTCCAGAAAATGTTCACCCCTGCTCTGCCTCCAGACATCCTTGTGAATTTCTATATCAACCTGAACAAGCTGTGCCTGACTGTCTACCAACTCCATGTGCTGCAGCCCAGCACAACCAAGGTGACACTACTGTCTCTTCAGCCTTGTTTATTTATCTCTCCTTGTGTCCCACTGAGAGGAGGAGATCCCATGTTCATGCATAAGATAATGCAGAAATGACTAACTGCTGTCAAATGTCTGTGTTTAGATCTGCTGCAGACAGAACACTGGCTCTAAATCTAGTTTGGGGCATGGTCACTTAGCCCAGAAGAAAATACCAGTGCTCTGGACAAATCCAGTAACTATCTTTTGCCGAGTAGTGCTTTATCTTAGGATATAGTTTGATAATTTTGCATCATTTAGGAAGGGCGTAATTGTATTAATACAGTTTACATTGAAGTAGCATCTTGGATTTTCTGAATGGAGTTTTGATTGATACTTTTCTGCTTCACCTGTTGCATTTGGGTCAGCTTGATGTCCTATAAACAGAATTAAACTCTTAAGCCTTATGAAATGCAGTCCTTCCATAAGGATATTTTTCCTAAAATCTGCGTTTTATTTTTCTTCTGGATCTTCTCATCTTATTTTTGCGGTGCTAAAATTTGGAACTAAGCTGGACTCAGTCACTTGTAGAAGTTTTTTCATGAAGGAGCAGGAAGGGATCCAATGACATAGATTTCATATGAATGGAGTATTCGGGCCGATACAGTATAAGTATTTCTGGATGTCAGGCTACTTACAGTGCAGACCTTAAATGTCTTCCTTCTAAGTTGTTTGTTTACTGCATCAAAATCCTAATGACCTTTTCCTTCTCCTCTAGAACTTCAAGCCTGCTGGAGGGTCCATTTTACACAACCCTGGAGCCATGTTGTAAGTACAGTCACTATAGGGGCTGTGTAACAGGAGTAGGAGTAGGCTGTACACAGTTTTAATTACAGCATCTGTTAAGTGGAGAAGCTGAACTGAGTCACTTGCTGTGGCTGTGGCTGTGCCTGTGAATACACAGGTGCCCACAATAGTGTTTCATTAATATTCTGTCATAAAGGCCCAAAGATGTGGCTTTTTGGGGTGCAGCCCACTAGGGTTTGGAAATGTCAGTCAAAATGAACATGAGGCTATTGGCATTGCCGTCTGCATTTCCTGCCTTTGTGCCTCTCTGGAAAGTGGTACCGTTTCCACCATAACACTGTTAGATTTAGCTTAATTCTAAATCTGGTCAGAGGTAGACTGAGGGATTGCATACTATAACTTTGCCAGGTGCTGTTTTAAATGTAGTAGAAATCACAGTGATCTCTTGTGTGAGAATGGAGGACAGTTGAGTTTTGTGTTCCGTGCTGCTGTGTGTGAAGCTGTGCTCTTTTTTTTCTCCCCCCACTCCAGTGAGTTTGGCAACCAACGGTATGAAGTCAGCCATGTCCATAAAGTGGAATGTGTTGTCCCGTGGTTGAATGATGCCCTTGTCTTCTTCACAGTTTCGCTGCAGCTTTGCCAGCAACTGAAGGACAAGGTAATGGCCTTAGAGAAGGGGCTTTGTTTTTAACTCTGGATTTTGAGAGGACCTCAAATCTCCTAAAAATCTGATGTGGTGTTATTCTGTGCAACTTACATATAAACTGAAAACAAGCGATGAGTCAATAGTCTGTAGCCAGAGAGCTGGCTGGCACTGGCTGTCATTGCCTAGTAGACAGCTCTCTGGGATAAGTGTAGTAGTGTGGCAGATGTGTTTGCTGAACTAGTGACTAGATGGAGAGGAGCAGGTAGACACGTTTGTGTTCTCAGTCGTGAGCTGGATGTGAGAAAATGCCAGGGTGCTGGAGAGAAGGCATGGAGCCCTCAGAAAACTAGATTTCAGTAGACCATTGTACAGTTCCAGCTCTGCAGCTGACTTGGCTGTCACCTTGAGCAAGTAACTTTGTGTTCCAAGCTTCTTCAGTGACAACAGCAGCAAATCTGCCCTTCGCTGTGCAATGCTAGTGTATGTAATGCTGTACAGCTCAATTGTCATGCATGTGTTAATGCTTTTTCTTCTATGGCCCAAGGGATACAGGAACTTACCTGCTTTTTCTCTTTTACTTTCCAGATCTCTGTTTTCTCCAGTTACTGGAACTACAGGCCACATTAATTCTCTGTTGAGTGTCCAAGCCCTTACAGCACTTCCAGTGTCTCCCTGTTTGTTTTCAACATGCCAGCTGAGTCCAGGTCAGCCTGAGGAGTGCTGTGGCCCTCCATTGGGTAGGGTCAGTGTATCCAGAGGCACAGCTTCAGTAGCCTTGTCTGGGACTGCTGCATAGCAGGGCACCGAGCAATGCTGTGTGGCTGGTGAGAGCTTCCACCCGTCTTTGTTCTCATGTGTGTTGTATGGCTTATGTTTTCCAAGCCTCTGATGAATGACACTAGGCCATTACAGGGAATGGGGAGCTGTGGACCACTCTCACCAACTATATTAGTGCACAGAGCTGTAACTAACTGCTGGACTGTCTGCTGGCTGGGAAGGAGTCAAGAGAGACTAATTTAACACACCACAAAATGTGTAGGACATGTTGCTCCATGTAGTGAAGTATGTTGTTGTGATCTGATCCAGCTGTGGTTATGACTAGCCCTGAGCTTCCTCCTCTGCTATCTGTTTTACCTATGCCCATGTTATTGATTCCTCTTCGGGGATATTCTTACTTGCTGCTGTTTGAACTTTTTTTTCTTCCCTGGCATCAATGTGATAATTTTTTTTTTCCTAAGCCCTGGTTGGGCCAATTGGTTTTTCCAGGTATAGTATCTTGTTTTCACTGCCAGCCTTTGGAGTTGCCTCGGTACTTGGAGCACAGCTGTGCAGTCTCACATCCTGTCATTAAACCCAAAGTGAGTAGCGCATTGTTACTACAATTTGCTGTCTACCTACAGATGCTACAGTATGTAACTCATCTCCCTAGCCATTGATAACTGTGAAATAAAGATCCTCAGACCTGCCATGCTCCTGTGGGCTGTCAGTGCTGAGAATGATGTGCTCTTTTACAAGTGAGTGGCTGTTCTTAGTTATGCATGCTGGATTACTGTTTGCCTTACTGGGAAGACAGCAGTGGTCTTTGAGGGCAGAGCTGGGCAGCTCTTCAAAGGCTGGTTTGTGTAGCCTCAGCCCAGTGCTGTCCAACAGTCGAGTACTGCCTGAAGGACCTCTTCAAACTTCTCTTGACGGTCATGTTTGGAAGAGGCTTTGGGTACTGAGACTGGGTTGGGTTGGCTCATGAAACTGGCTGTCAAGTGATGAGGAAGCTCCAGCTAGCCTTGCCCAGCCTGTTTGGCTTTCCTCACTGGAGTACCTTACCCAGGAGCCTATGTGTGTGCTGAGGTGAAGCCTGCAGGCCGACCTGTGACCCTGCAAAACCAGGGCCATTGGAGCCTATCTTGACAGCATGGTTGTGCTATCCAGAGTGCTGTACTCAAAAGGAAGAGATCACAGAATGGTTGAGGTTGGAAGGGGACCTCTGGGGTCTGTCTGGTCCAATTCCCCTGCTCAAGCAGGGCCACCCCAAGCCAGTGTCCCAGGACCATGTCTAGATGGCTTTTGAATAGCTCCAGGGAGAGAGACTAGAGATCGATATATTACTTTGATATTTTTGTTGTTGTTTTGCATAGACCTCTGCTCTGGGCATGTGTGGGCTACCTTGTCTGCAACCTCCCTTTCTGTCCCTGTGTGAGACCCCTGGGATCCTGCGTGGGTTAGTGTCAGCCTTGTTACTGCTGCAGCCGCCGCCTCTGAGGGCTTGACACTTGGTGCTGTGCTTGGTCTGACGCATGCTAGCATTACAGGTTGCAGGCAGTAACAGAGCCTACAAATGAGTATCAGGCTGTGAATGATGGATGTGTTTGTTAGTAAGTAATGAAAGGTGGATGGTAGAGAGGTCTGGATGGGCTGATGCAACAGCAGACTCATTACTGATTCCAGTCAATTAGCCATATGACTAGCTGCAGCCATGACCCTGGCTATGTGTTTACCAACCCTTGCTCTCTTCCAGATGACTGCACATGCGTGGAAGTGCTCACCAGTAACAGCTTCTCGAATAAGAGTTTTTATAGTTAATAACCTCTCTGGAGCTGTCTGTGCTCTTCTTTTACCCTCCCTGTGTGTGGAGGAGGCTCCTTTTTAAATTCACACTAGCATGTGCAGTCCAATCAATGTTGCCATATCCTCTCCAACTCAGCTTCCTGCTGCTAGGGATTTAACAGCAACCCACTGTGGGTTATTTTCTTATGATGAAAATAGTCTTCTTCGGTCCTGGAGGGCAGGAGTGTGCAAAATGGAATACCTGTTCTGGCTCCAGCTCTGACGCACAGTGGCTGTGTCATGAGGACTGTTGGTGGCAGTGGTAGCTGCTGCAGGACACTGCCTAGGTTACTGTTAGTGAACAGGGTAACAGCAAGGCAGGTGAGACCTCAGCAGGAGAGACCCCACCTGCAGTACTGCATCCAGCTCTGGACCTGCTGCAATTTCTTTTCCTCTTTCTTGGCGATGTTTTCAGCCTTTACTGCTGCTCCATGTTGTTTTGCATTAAAATGTGCAAAACTAATTTTGAAATTCAGACCACAGTGCTCTTCACCGAGGCTATAAAAATCTATTCCTTATAAGAACCTTGTGCATACTACTAAGCAGTGCAGTAGTCCTGACTCAGACAGGAACGTCTAATACCGGGAGTTGCTTTTCATTTTTGCACAACAGCAGCAAAAAACAAAATCACATAGCAAAAGCAGTTTGCTAGAACAAGCCATCCCAACGGAGCAAGGGTAGGGCTGGATGAGTTGTGTGAGGTGAAGATGTGGGTATAGAGTCACGCTGAGCAGTCCTGAGATCTTGTGAGTTTAGCTGAAGCTTTGATTCCAGTTAACATGGACCAGGTGTTTAACTGGTGGTAACTGTCCCTGCTGCAGAGCCGACTGCTGGCAGCTGTGCTCCCCTGACACCTGGGATGGGATCTGTGCCTCTTCATGGAAAGCCTGGGGCCTGAGACAAGGATCATGCTCATGCACAACCCAGGCTTGACAAGGCTTGTGTTACCTGAAATGGCAGCAGACAAGCTGATTTGACAGTTGGATTTTTGCTCCATAGAGTCACAGTGAAGTGTAGTTTCACGCCTGTCTGCTCCCATCTCA